AGGGGATAGGTTTTACTCAGTAAGTAGTACAGGAGAAAGGATATAAACAGCAGGTGGATTATAGAAGAGAAAGCACAAAATCTAACATACACATTGAGATGGTCATAAAATTAACAGAGAAAGGCAAGTTAAAACAATAATGATATTTATACTAAATAGTGCAGCAAATATTAGAAAGTTTCATAATGCCAAGGGCTGGCCAAGACAGAGGACTTAGATGCTTGGCATCTTGCTTGTGGAACGTGTGTGAGGACAAGTGCATGAAGTACTGCAAATGTGGCAAACATTAAGGGCATCTGAGCGGCAAACCACTCCCGTGTGCTAGGCATGTGTGGCAGACCGCTTACCCCACAGGCGAAGTCCCTGCACTAGGTCCAAGGCCCACTCCTCGATTGGTCGCTGCAGGGACAGTTGGCCAGGACTTGTATTGGTGGCTGCCTGAGTAAATATACATGGTAACTGCACAATAAAATCAAACCTGCTTCCTGCTTGGACTCCGGAGGTCTTGATTAGCAACTCCGCAGCCACACTCTCCTCTGCCCTGTTCTGTGGACCTCCTCACTGGACGAGAGAGAGCCCACACAAATGTGGACTAGGGAAGTCATTCTGAAAGGCACCCTGGTACTTCTTAAGCCTGGAACCAGAAATTCAGCTACTGGGTATTTATCCAAAATAAATTCTCACACAGATTTATCAGAAAACATGAGAACAAGGGACCAGCCACAAAAAAGGAAAGGAAAACCTGATTTATTGCATGTTGAAGTTTGCCTGAACCTGGATGGGGCAAAGGGCGGAAAGGAGTTGTTGGAGCAAAAAGTAGTCAAAGATGACTCCAGACTCCCCTGTCTGAGTGACTGGGAAGAAGCCTGAGAAGGATGGGCAGTCTGGAAGGGGGAGTTGCTAAAGAGTTCAACTCGGGACACAAGGGATGGAACCATCAACTAGTAACTGCATAAGAAATAGTCCAAGGACAGGCCTCTGGGGAACAACCTGCACCACTTAGGGATCTGATGGTGACAGGAGGTAGAGAAGAGTTTTATCCTGAACCAGAGGAAAATTGGACCAGATGATTTCTTAGGTCCTTTTTATCAATATTTTATAGTTCTTTTAAATCCATATCACAAGTTTATTAATAGATTCTCATATCTTTGATTTGTAAACCTTAGACAAATATTTTAGTAAAAGTCAGATCATCAGGGTATATCAGAGAATGCTAAGTTATTTAACCCACATAAACATTAGTTTCTTCCTTTTTAAAATGGGGGTGATATTTACCTTGTGGTGTTTTGAGGCTCTGAATCAAGTCTGTTGGGATTCTGTTGGATTCTTCATAACAACTCTATGCATATTTATTCTAATCCTAACAGTCTAATGCTGCCACCCTGTTCATACCCCGTCTTTACCCAATTGTCTCCTTTGTTCTCTAAATTCTTAAGCTCTAGTGGCTCTCTCCCTCTCCCAGTGATTATGCAGCATGTAAGAATTAGACTGGGTAAACTAGGCAATAAATACATGCCCTTTGGTTTCTATGTCACTTCATGCCTCACCTCAGTTTTTTCCACACAGATCTTTTCATTTGATCCTTAAATATTCCTATGAGAAAGGCAGGATTTCTCAGTAACATTAAAGATAAGAAAATTCAACTTTGGCAAAACAGATTTGTCATGATTTACATAATCCAGACAACAATCTGATTTTTTTGGGGGGGGGGGGTGGAGATTATATTCAGGTTAATTATAAGAAAGTCAACAATTTAGAATGTTCAATGGAGATAGCAAAAACCACACCCATTAATCATTCATATATATATATATACATAAATGCCAGTTTAGTTTACTTCTTTTTCTTTTTCTTTTTTTTTTTTTTTTGGTTCAAGTAGAGTAATAAATACACTAGCTTGAATGTAAAGTAGAGAGTGAGAAATTTCAAGGGAATAAACTAAAAACTGAAAGATGACTCGGAGTTTCTATCTAGTCTGGGTGTCTGGGAGGATACTGCTGCTAGTCAGAGGAGAGAATCCAGAAAGGGAAAGTAAGACTTCAAACTGGAATAGTAAAATTTGATTAATAAGTGGAACATTCAAGTGCTACTATGACCACTGTAAAGGAGTTGTAGCTCAGTGGTAGAGCACTTGCCTTGCGAGTGTGAGGCACTGAGTTCAATCCTAGCACCGCATAAAAACAAAGGCATTGAGTCAATCTACAACTAAAAAAATAAATAAAAGAAAGCAGTCCCACAGAAAGAACTCCATAATCATTTGTATGTGTATATTTTGGTGGAAATTCTGAATCCCCCCAGGAAGGGAAAGAGCAGGCACAGGCTGGCTCACAGAGAGCACTCTGGTGGAAATTATTTTGTTAGCAAACCAAATACATTATACATAGATTTATGTTTCTGTTACAGATGATTAAAACATAGCACTATATTCCTGGCTATTACAGATGGTTAAGAAAAGAAAAAGCTAAAAAGTAAAAAGATGCATAATTGCATGTTCTGTATTTTGGCAATATTCAGGGGCTTGACACAGCTAACAGGATTCAGTCATGGCCATGTATCAGTTGTCATTAGTGGAACTGATAAGGTGGAAGCTGAGGTCACTATTAAAATTATTTTAAAGGTGTATAAAAAGATGTATAGTGGCTCAGGCATAGTGGTACATGCCCATAATCCAAGCGATTTGGGAGGTTGAGGAAGGAGGAGTTATCAGCAACTTAATGAGACCCTGTCTCAAAATACCCACAGAAAAAGGACTGGGAATGTAGCTCAGCATTAAAGTGCCTTTTAAAAAAACTGGATGTTAGAGAAGAAAAAAAAATCTATTGATTATAAAATTCAATTCCGTATAATTGAAAGTATAAATCAGTAATAGTAAAACAAGCTCACTATTTTTTCATTCATACATCTTTTATGTGTTCTCCGAGTGTTTTGGCAAATAGGGCTATTTTACTTTAGCTCTCCTATAATGTTTTTTACTACATAAAATTTGTTAGGATCATCCACTTGCTTTTTCATCAAAGAAAGCAAAATTTAACATTAAACAAATCGGGACAACATTCAGACTCATGTTTTAAAGAAAAACTGCTAATGTATATCAAAATCACCTGGAATGCAAAGCTTATTAAAACACAAATTACTCTGCCCCAGGGTTTTTCATTCAATAGTTGTGGGGTTGGGGCCAAGGATTTTGTATTTCTAAAGGTTCCCAGTTCATCTGTGTTGGTAAGTTAGAGACTATACTTTTTGAACCACTGACTTAAACAATAGACATGATTCTGCTCCCCTCCCCTTTTTTATTCTTTGATTTCTCTTCATAATGCTATTTACTATTTTAGAGCATCTTAGGATTTTATGTATTCATCTGCATTGCCTTTAAAGTAAAAAAAAAAAAATCACAGTGATGTTTGAAACAAATTCTATAAGTTAGTTATTGGTGGTGAGATTTTTTTATTGAACTCAAGGGCACTCAACCACTGAGCCACATCCCCAGCCCTATTTTGTATTGTATTTAGACACAGCGTCACTGAGTTGCTTAGTGCCTCAATTTTGCTGAGGCTGGCTTTGAACTCGAAATCCTCCTGCCTCAGCCTCTCCAGCCGCTGGGATTACAAGCATGCACCACTATGCCCGTGTGCACCCTGCTGTTGGTGAGATTCTAAAAGGAAAAGCAAGAACTCTTGATCATAGAAGCCTTTTATTTCTTAGCTGGAAAATGTTATTTTTGCCACTCCCTCCCCACCCATTTACTGTCTTCTCCAGTACAATGCCAGGCATTCTGCTTTTTTCAAAGATTGAACACCCCCCAACCCAACCACCATCATGTTCAAGCTTTCCCCAATTTGCCTGCACCAAGTGACTTCTATAGCATTAGGATTTCTATAGTTATTATTGTCTTTATTTCTCATCATAGTGAATATATGCTTCTTGTACTACTAAACTTCTTATGTTATATAAGTATGTATATATTTATGTATTGTGTATTTCTTTTTTCCCCTGTTAAGTTCCTGAAGGGCAAATCTTGTATCCCTTACTTTGCTGATATCTCCATTGTGAAGCACCATGTATTAAACGTAGTTAACCCTCAAGTGTTTGTGGCTAAGAACAGCTAATAAAGTGATTATCTTTTGGGTTCTTACCGAATTCTCTAAATTACATACATAGGCTAATTTTTGCTGTAAAATCATAAGTCCATAATGCAAACACACACACACACACACACACACACACACACACCCCAGAACTTTACATGCAAATGTTAATAGCTGCAATGTTCAATACAAATCAGGACAGTTTAGGACAAACGGGAAGTATAGAGAATGGCTTACTGTACTTTGCTCCACAGACACAATCATTTTTTGGTTTTGCTTTGTCAAAATTAAACTGCACCTTCTATATTGATGGTGAGCATGTTCCTGCAGATGCCCCCATTCCAAGCTAAATAAAACAGGTTCTAACAAGTCACATACCTGAGTGACCTGTTTAAGAGTGCTTTCAATAAGTTTGCTCAGCTTTTACAAGTATATTAGGATGTCTGCCTTCTGTATACCTTCAATGTCACACTAGAAATCAATTGTTTCATGTCATGTCACAAAAAAACTATACACAATGTGAACTAAAGGACCTGACCCCCTACCTTTTTGTAAAGTGGTGGAAAATGAAGGCCCCAAAGATAGCTAAAGCTCACAGGCCAGCCTTGGACTAGAATCACAGGGTCGGTCCTACTCCCCACAGCCATAATAATCAGGATAACGCCGAACCGAGATGACAAAACTACTTAAAAACTTCCAAAGTAGTGCTTAGGCCTAAAACACGGCTGGTTTCAGAAAAAAATAGCATTCAAAAATACCCACAAATGGAAAGCCACTTGGTTATCAGCCGGGCCCTGGGGCTTCACTTTCTCCCCTGGCAACGGTGCCTGCCTGTCAGTACAGATGGGGACCCACAGGATCACCTCCCGGCTTCATCCCCTGACACCCAAGTGCCCAACTCTTTGTGGAGTACGTGGTTGGCCCTAAGAAGGGCCTTTGGAGCTGGAGCGGAGGCAGGTCACCCCCCGAAGCCGTAGAGGGTGCGGCCCTGGCGCTTGAGCGCGTAGACCACGTCCATGGCGGTGACCGTCTTGCGCTTGGCGTGCTCCGTGTAGGTGACGGCGTCGCGGATCACGTTCTCCAGGAACACCTTGAGCACGCCGCGGGTCTCCTCGTAGATGAGCCCGGAGATGCGCTTGACGCCGCCGCGCCGGGCCAGCCGCCGGATGGCGGGCTTGGTGATGCCCTGGATGTTGTCGCGCAGGACCTTGCGGTGGCGCTTGGCGCCTCCCTTGCCCAGGCCCTTGCCGCCCTTCCCTCTCCCAGACATGGCGGATGCACTCCGAGGACTGTCCTTGGGGGCCGGGGCCTGCGCGGTTATACGAGAGCCGCGGACCAGATTGAAAACCGAAAGCGCGCCGGAGGGAAGATTCGAATCGTCCCGCTCTCCGGAGAGCTCGCGCTCTTTTGTTGTTCCTCTGTCCTCCGCCCTCTACCGGACCCTCCACTTTGGGGGTTTTATTTGTTGTTGTTGTTTAAACCGGCATTCCGTAGCTCCCGGGAAAGAGCGGGTCCCAGCACCAAGCTTCCGGATTCCGCAGTCTTTACGCTTCCTTTTTCTGTCTGGATTTCTGGAAGGCATTAAGTCGGGTTTAAGTGGAAAGATCTGGTGGGAGGAGACTGGAGGAAGAGCAGATGGGTTTCAGAGCTGAGAAGGGAAAAGGGCAGCGCCGGATTCCGTTTTAACCATTGTCCAAACCCTCTGGCTACACAAAACTGCAGCCAGGACGGTTCCAGAAACTTGGTGGACAAGACTCCAGGGCAGCGGCCTTGGGGATATGTGTGGAAGGACGAGGGGAGGGAGAAGGTCGCTGCAATCAGCAACACTGTTTTGTTGGTGGAGGCACAATATTTCAATCCAACCAGGAATCAGGTCCTAGGAAAACTGGCCTTAGGATACTGCCAAGCCTTCTCTTGGGGGCTGGTGAACCCCAACGCACTGTTGTCCAAAGCTCTGCAGAGCATAGGAAAAGCAGAGGAGACTGAGAGGTAGTCTCCACACCCACCTCTACTTACAGATCCTCTGAATTCAACCCTTATTTTCAGTCAGTTTAGCATCCAAACTGTCCAGGTTGAGACACCCACCCCCTCACCCGGGGAGCTACCACAGTTTGCCGAATTCGGTTTTGCAAGGAGACTTGTGCTTTACCAGAAACTGCCCTAAGAAATTGATTGGAGTTCTTAGTTCATTACTATGGCCCTCTGTAGGACAATCCAGGAGAAAATGTTTTGGTTTCTGCACCATAAAGATCTTTTTTTTTTCCCCCCCAAAAAATGTTTATGATTAACTTTTCTTATTAAAAGTCAGATGCTCTGTTTCCATCTCTTGGTTCTAACTACTTTCTATATTCTGATAAATCTTAGTGTTTTTGTTTGTTTGTTTTTTAACCAGACTTCTAGGCTCCAGACATATAGATTCAGTCATTTTAAGCCCAAAGCTGAAAATCTCCAAAAATCAGCATGTTTCAATTCAAAACCTCCAAGGTATGATTCTTAGGGGGTTGAGGGGACTTATCCTCCTAATAATGGTGGTTCTTTTGTCCACTGAATGGATGTATCACTACATCCTTATGCCTATGTGCCTAATCAACACCCTAGTATTCACAATAGATCCCTTCTCCCTTGACTGCTTCTAGGCAGAGAAACTTGCTCTTTTCTGACCTGTTGGCATCTCCTACAGAACATCACATTATTTTACATCTCTTTTTATCTTTCATACTTCCCTCTTGACTTTGTGTTCCTTCCTGGAAGTGATTTTCATTTTCTCTTTGTAAACTGACATGTAGTTCAGTATTCAGTATAAGCTCAATAATCATTTATAGAATAAACAGTTCCTACATTTAATGACTTTTTAAATACTAGTAAGAAAGACATTACCAAATTGCAACATCATAAACATAAGCCATGGCTCACAGAAATGATAATTTTGGAGTCAAAAAGGGAAAGGACCCTAGTCAAAAGAAGAGATATGTGTATATTCCCTTTTGTAGGGGATAAGGATATGCTACTATAACAGGGGTTCACTTGATGCTTTGACTATATCCCTTGTGGCTTTGAAACTTACATTTTTTTTTTTTCTTTTTACCAACCTCTTCTCCCTGATCATCTTTTCCCTGATCTTCTCCTTCCAGATCTCTCCTCCCTAATCTCAATTTCTCTGAATCACCTCTATAGAAGCCCCTTGTTCCTGATGATGGGCAGAATCACAGCTTTTGGGACAGGAGTCCCATGTGTTTCTTCTTTGCTAGCCAAGCAATAAACCTTTTTCCTTTTTCTTAAAATTGTGTCCTTGTTAATGGATTGGCATAGGGGACAAAGATTGACCTTTCGGCAACATGTACCTCCAAATTGCCACTTTGGCACAAGAATAATTTTGAGCTGAAGGCATTTTGAGTTCCGGAAATCCCTTATCTGTTTAAAAACAGAGCCTCCTGGGGTTGGGGTTATGGCTCAGCAGTAGAGTGCTCGCCTCATACGTGCAAGGCCCTGGGTTCCATCTTTGGCACCACATAAAAATAAATAAGACACTGAGCTTTCTCTAACTCAGTTGTTGTAAGTTTTTCCCATGAGGCACTCTAATTTTCCAGAGATGAGGAGTTGGTGCCACACCCAAACAGGCATTGTCACAGGAATACAATGTGGTGTCCTTTACTCTCCTAAATGCTATTTATCTTTCTAAAAAGTCATTTGCTTTTCCCCAAGTGTCCTTTCTCTCCTCTCCCTTTCGATTATTAAGTACACAAACCCCAAATTCTAACCACCGTTTTGAGTTACCCATCTTGGGGTACTGCCTTGTGTATGTTCAATAATTCAAAACATTTGTCTTTCTTTTATTGATCTCTTTTGTTATGCAGTCAGTTCCAACTAAGAACCTGTGGGGAGTTGGAGAAAAATATTATTCTTCCCCCACAATTTTAATAAAAAATATAGTACTCAAAATATATGGTTCTTAACCTCTCTCCAATATGTAGCTTACATATCATAAGGATGGCTGGTGGAATTAAATCTCTATATTTATATAGCTTTGAAATATTGTGTGAAAACAATACTTGATTCTAAAAAAAATTTACTTGATTTTACTATATTCCAGTAGGGTATGTTATGTAATCATAAATATAAATTCTAAGCTGTTCAATATGATCAGTCAATGTTAAGGACCCGTAGAATGGAGAATGTCGGTGAATTTCTATCTAATGGCAGTGCACTGAAGGAGTGAGTTTATTTCAGAGTGGAATAAAGAAAGAGGCTTAAAGTCCTATGGTTTCGCAGTTTGGTCCAGGGCTGAAGGTCCGTCAAGATGAAAGCAAATCAAGCATGAGGACTGACCGACCCACAAACCTGGGATTCAAATGGTCTTGGAATGCTTATAACCCTGGAGGCACACGAAGACCAACACCAAACATAAACTGTCTTCTCTTACCACCTATTTAACTTAGTCCTTTACCTTTGTATCAAAAATAAATAGGTATAGTCAAAACATTGCATTCCTAATAATAACGATTATTATTTTCGCTTGCTTATTTCCTGTATAGAAAGTTTGGGGTTGTGGCTCAGTGGTGGAACGCTTGCCTAGCACGCGTGAGCCACTGGGTCCGATTCTCAGCACCCCATATAAATAAGTAAATAAAATAGAGGTCCATCAACGACTAATAAAATTAAAAAAAAAAAAAAAAAGTTTAAGCTTCTCATGTCTCCTTCCCACCTCCCAATACAACCCATGCTAAGAACAATATAACTCAAGTTCTTAGCCTTCAAACTACAGGCCTTTATGATTTCTGATGAAAGTTGGGCATGGTGGCATATACCTGTAATTCCTAGTGACTGGGAACACAGAGGGAGGAATATTGCAAGTTCAAGGCCAGACTGGGCCTAGACCTTGTCCCTAAAAAAAAAAACAAAACAAAAAACAAAGGCTGGAGATGTAGATCAGTGGTGGAGTGTCCCTGGATGTAATCCCCAATAATGGATATCTGATGAAAGAAACTTCAGAAATTTCAGAAAGAGAAATATCCTCTCTCTCCCACAGCTGAAGAAAAGCAGAGGTTCATCTTCATCATAAACCTCTACTGATAAAAACAGAACTTTCATAGGAATATCATTCTAGTGTCCAATATGGGGAGTAGGTGAAATTGAACTGATATGTATCTGAATTCTGCATTGAAGGTGATTTCTAAGGTAACAATTACATCAGAGATATCTGTATTCCGAGAAATGTTAACTATGGCTTTTGCAAATTCATGATTCTGATTCTGATTGTTTTGTTTAATTTGTTGCCTTAGAATTTATAAAGTGATTTTTTTTTTTGAGAAGTAGAAGTAGAAATTCTTATAAGTTTGCTTTTTAGAAAAGTTAAACCAGAGGAAGACTTGAAATTTTCTTATTCTCTATGTTATAAAAGCCAGGCACAGTGGTGCGCGCCTGTTATCCCAGCAGCTCAGGAGGCTGAGACAGGAAGACTGCAAGTTCAAAGCCAGCCTCAGCAAAAGTGAAGTGCTAAACAACTCATTGAGACCCTGTCTCTAAATAAAATACAACATGGGGCTAGGGATGTGGCTCAGTGGTTGAGTGCCCCTGAGTTTAATCCCCAGTAACCAGCTCCCTCACCCCCCCAAAAAAAAAAATTTGAAATAAATTCCATGACTCTTGGATTCTGTATTTCAAAATAGTTCCCTCTTATCCTCATGCAATCAAACCATACAATGTTTCTTAAAGGTCTCCATTGAACTCTGTTATTTCACAGAGTTGGGTTAAGTAATACATATACATAGAAGGACTTTTAAACACAGAGTAGTGCTCACTATATGAAAGTCATTACAAAACCACCACAGGAATAACATTTATCCATGTCAGTCACACTTTTGTATGTTTTGTATTTTAGATCTCCCTAAGAGGTTGCTACCTATGAAGGGTTCTTGAAGAGATTAAGCTAACAAGTTTTTACACTGTGTGAAATGTTCACTTAAAATCACTTCCATTTGACTTTGATATCATTAAGAAGATAATTCATACTGACCATTAAGGTAAGTTTTAAGCCTCTTGGGCCTGCTTTTGTTATTAGGTTTGAGCTCTTGTAAGGTTTGTGTGTAATGGTTTTTCAATAAAACAAGCGATTAAAAGTATTATCTAAACTTTTACCTTATCCATAGAGATCTTTATGCATTGTTTTATGACACGCACTTTCCAGGAACAATTTAAGGCCTATGAAATGACTAAAGGGCAAAGAATCTTCACTGTCCTTGTAGAAAATACAGAAAATATTAAACTTTTAAGGATTAGGAAACATTTTATCTTTATTGAAGAAAATAGCAACTCAGTAGTCAATGAATAATTTATGTGCTTTGAAACTTCATTTAACTTGTCATCTGGCTGATAAGGACTTGACTATTAGAAACTATTGTAAAGGAGAAACTCCTGTCTGGTCTCATCCATCTTTGACCAATAAGCGGTTCATCTGCAGGACCTAATCGGCCTTTGATGTGGAGGTGAGGAGACAGAATCTCCAGGAGGTAAAAAATAAAGGAAGGCGGAAGTTTTAACAGAACGTTGGTCAGCATACTGAAGATAAAACAGGGCTTTGGTCGAGTTTAAGTCAGGTAAATATAATTTTTCATTCTTTCCACTACATAGTGTTTTGTTAAGCTTCCATCACGATACAATGCATCTAAACTGCTGAGCACAGTAACAAACGCTAAATAAATGTCATAGAAGGAGAGTTCTTGTAACAGACAACTTGAAACTAGCTGAAACCTGTTAACATATACAGTGAGCAAATACTTTATAAATTATTGTTACAAAGTTACATCAACTGAAAGGAAAGGTTTTTACAAAGATATTCGTGGTCCACAAATTGTAGAGAAAGGGGGAAGGAATGAGGGAATAGTCTCAGTAAACGGGATCGAGTTCTAGCCAATGAGATCACAAGTCTAGAGATTCCTCTCCTCCTGCCCAATCAAGGCGCGGCTTCGTCTATAAGTAAGACCGCCTTCGCTGGCTCCTCGTTCCTCCCAAACCCGCGAAGCATGGCCCGAACCAAGCAAACCGCGCGCAAGTCGACCGGTGGCAAGGCCCCGCGGAAGCAGCTGGCCACCAAGGCGGCCCGCAAGAGCGCGCCGGCCACCGGCGGCGTCAAGAAGCCCCACCGCTACCGGCCCGGCACCGTGGCGCTGCGCGAGATCCGGCGCTACCAGAAGTCCACCGAGCTGCTGATCCGCAAGCTGCCCTTCCAGCGGCTGGTGCGCGAGATCGCGCAGGACTTCAAGACCGACCTGCGCTTCCAGAGCTCGGCCGTCATGGCGCTGCAGGAGGCCAGCGAGGCCTACCTGGTGGGGCTGTTCGAGGACACCAACCTGTGCGCCATCCACGCCAAGCGCGTCACCATCATGCCCAAGGACATCCAGCTGGCCCGCCGCATCCGCGGGGAGCGGGCTTAAGTCCTGTGCTGAGCAGTCCGCACAAAGGCTCTTTTCAGAGCCACCTACCTCTCAGTAAGAGCAGCTGCACGCGCTCTCCGCAGTCTGCGCTCTGCCTAAACACTCAAGTCAGGAACGCCCCAGCGGGGCATGGAGGAATCCGACACTCTGGTCGCTTAGCTACAGGAGAGTTCATCTGGTTCTTGGGCTGGCCTAGCTTTCCCTATCCGTGAGGGAACGTCTTCGGCGCGAAAGCCAGGGGTTCGCGGAGCCCTGTGTTAGTATTGAGGCCCAGGCCGGGAAAAGATGCTGTAAAATTCAAGATTTGTCTTGCATTTAGAAATTACATGAAGCTATAGTTTGTAATGTGATCCATTGTTACACAATATAACCCGAAGAGCAGTTAAAAACGGAAGTGGGTCCCTGCCGGTCTTAAAGAGTTGATCGTTAAAGAAAAACCAAGTATTAAAGAAAGACGGCAAAATTAAGGGGCTGCAGCTGGGGTTCTGGCTCAGTGGTAGAGCACTTACCTCGCTTGTAGGAGGCACCGGGTTCGATCCTTAGAACACATAAAAACAAAGATATTGTGTCCATCTACAACTAAAAAAAAAGCAAGGGGCAGTTAACTTTACCTAGTGCTTTAAAAATTCCTTCTAGAAATCCACGGTTTAGTGGGGGGGGGGGGGAACCAAACAAGTGGAGCTACCGCTGTACGTAATTCACTGGTTAATTTGAAATGGAATATTTTGATTGGCTAATAAGACTTTGGTTCTAATGACCACTAAGGAAGCGCAACCAGAATCTGTTATTTACATGGACTCCGCCCCTCATGACGACACTCTTGTAAATTAACCAATAAAAAACGCAGTGTCGTGGAGTCTTCATTTGCATACGGGCTCTATAAGTAGCGCGTAACCGGCTGGTTCTGTTGTAGTCGGCGATTACCTCTTCCCGAGTGCGTCGGTTCTTCCCGAGGAAAAAAAATGCCAGACCCAGCGAAATCTGCTCCCGCTCCCAAGAAGGGGTCGAAGAAGGCTGTCACGAAAGTGCAGAAGAAGGACGGCAAGAAGCGCAAGCGCAGCCGCAAGGAGAGCTACTCCGTTTACGTGTACAAGGTGCTGAAGCAGGTCCACCCCGACACCGGCATCTCGTCCAAGGCCATGGGCATCATGAACTCGTTCGTCAACGACATCTTCGAGCGCATCGCCGGCGAAGCGTCCCGCCTGGCGCACTACAACAAGCGCTCGACCATCACGTCGCGGGAGATCCAGACGGCCGTGCGCCTGCTGCTGCCCGGGGAGCTGGCCAAGCACGCCGTGTCCGAGGGCACCAAGGCGGTCACCAAGTACACCAGCTCCAAGTAAGGGTACACAAGGAATGCGACACAACAACTGCTTAACCCCAAAGGCTCTTTTCAGAGCCACTTCAGTAATCAGAAAATGGCTGTAAACACAATGGGGCCGTTAGCCTTTGTTAGGTATGATGTGACCGTGGTCACGAGTGCATTTGTGGTTTTGGGATTAGGAAGCCTGAAACTGCCAGTGTTGCTGTCTTATCAGGAAATCCCTACCGAGTCCTTGATGGAACCTTTGTAATAAAGAATCCTTTGGAGGCAGAGAAATGGGCAATGTCTGTTCTGTCTTCAGATACGTGTTAAGACGCGTTTGGGGGCTTCTTTAGCTCGGGCGACTGATCCCTAGCATTTTTAAGTAATGATCGAGTTGGGTTTTATCTTTATGTACAGGTGGGAAGTTGTCAGTTCTTGAACTCCCTACTTAACTGTTGCACAGTGGTTCAACCTATTGGCAATATCAAGAGGTAAACTTATATTTCATGATGTGAGAAGGGTGCTATTGGCATTTAATGGGAAGCAGCCAGCACTGATGCTGTGCATAATGCACAGGACAGCCCCCCACTACAAAGCATTACCTGATTCATAATGCTGATTCCTGTGCAGAGACTGAGACCCAATGGCCCAAAGACCTGTCGTGCTATCCCTGGACCCACACCTATGTTATTGCTCTTTACTTGAAAGGTGAACATTCCGTAGGCTTACTCTGTTTCCAGGTCATTTTCCACAGGAAAACTTTCAGGGCAAGAACCCTGTTCTGGTTTCTGTTAAACAGAACAGGATAAAACAAAAACTTATGATTGTAAGAACTGTGGAATTGCTTCCTGAAATTGCTTGCCTCTGGTGAAGTTTGCTGCTTTCAGTCAGGTTGGATGTGGGGAGGTGGTTTTCAGTGTTCTCAGGTGTGTGTATTTTAATACATTTTGAAGGTATCTCCTTGGCCCACAAGTTGGCATCAAATGTTAAAATCACGCTGTGTGTGTGTGTGTGTGTGTGTGTGTGTGTGTGTGTGTGTTTTGTTTCTGTTGTTTTGCACAGTATTGGAGATCAAAACCAGCGTTTCTGTCTGGGCAAGTAGTCTACCACTAAGCTACATTCCCCAGTCCACTAGTATTTTGAGAAAGAATTTGAGAATGAGAAGGGATTTATGGTACACAAAAGGGCATGGTTAGTATGTAGAATGAATCTCTGAAGACTAAAAACTTGCATAATTCAAAACATCCTAACAAAAGCTAGTGGATTTTTTTTTTTCCTTACCAAATAAATACAATAGGAAAACTTTACAATTTACTGAAACAGGCTTTGATATTAAGCCATTCTTGGTAAGTCCTTCTCAGGACAATTCTGTACTTACTGTGTATTTTGTAATTTTATAATTTAGTTCAAATTTACATCTAATTAAAAGTGGTAGAGTGCTTGCCAAGTATGCATGAGGCACTGATTTCCGATCCTCAACACCACATAAAAATAAATGTATTGTGCCCGCCTACAACTAAAAATACACATATATTTAATTTTTTTAAAATAAAATGAAGGTGTGTTCATCTACAACTAAAAAAAATTTTTTTTAAGTTGCATAAAGTGTGCCACATATGACTTCTTTCACTGCAAATTTTAGATTCTCACTTGAGAATTCCCTGTCCTTTTTCTGATGACTTCCAGACAAGAGGCCAGGGAAAGATCTCTTCAGAACCAATGAAGATTAAATTCTATCAGCCTCTGTAATGGTGAGAGTAGCCCAAGGTAATTTAACTAATTACGGGAACTTAGTGGTGAATTCACCAATCACTGGGGCTTCTTAATTTATTTGGGTCTCATAGTTTTCTGTGAAATGCAGAGATTTATAATTATTGATCTTAAGCTTCCTTCTAATATAATCCACTTGGCATAGTGGCTGGAACATGGTAAATGTTTCATCAGTGTTGCTCTCAGGATGAACATCTATCTCAGATATATCTATGAGATAGATGAACATCTATCTCAGATATATCTATGGAAGTGTATTTCATCTAGTTTGGCAAGTCTTCTTACTCAAGACTCATAGTTAACAGGAGAAAGGTATAATGATTAACTTGCATACCTATCGACCATAAAATAGGTCATATAAGGAAACCACCTTGTTTTCTTAACTCTTTTCCCTGCTACATTATGAAAAATTGAACGATTTTGTTTCTCTAAGCTTTAAACTTGATAGCTTTTTTCTGAGTCTTTTTAAGTTTTGAAATCTGATTTTCATATTAGGTATTAGATAAAAATTATTCTTAAGTGACCTTCTTCCCACCACTCTGCTGAAACAGCAAGTATGTGTAGAGAAGAATACAATTTTAGCAGGAGAGTTAACCAAGGTAAAACTTTAATTCTAATCTTCAGCCTAGAGAAAAAAAAGGTAAGAAAAAAATTTTCATTTGTCTAAGGAACGTTTATTTCATGTTGTTTGTTTATGATTGTGGGGATGTGTTTTGGAGGGAAAGAGGCATAATTGAGAAATCATTCTGGATTAATTATGCAAATCTTTTTGGAGTAGAGTTTTAAAGATTTTAAAAGCAAAGGAAATAAATAAACAAAAACTATGAATATTTTTTCCTGACATAAGAAAATAATATATGAATTATAAGCATTGACTGAGTCAATGATTGAGCTGATAGATGGAAATATAGACCTTTACAACATAGAGATATCAAAGTAAGTATATTTGAAGACTCTTCCTAGCGTTATGGAAGGATGAATGTATTCCTAAAAATTTGGGGGCATGATGTTTAATGTTTAAATGTATAATGTTTTAGTAAAAAGTTCAGGCTTTTGAGAAACTAGCTGGTATACAGCCTGGCTCTTCTCTCTCAGTTGTATGACAGGGCATGTTTCTTAATCTGTGTTTCCTCAACTTAAAATTGGGAGCAATAGTAGTGCTTACTGCACAATGTTTGGGGAAGGATAAATGAGTAATTATATATAACAATGCTAATATTTGACAGTTAATAAGCATTTCAATAGTGATAGTTGAGATTGGCAGTAAGGAAGTTTTACTTCATGCAAGTTTCTCATCTCTAACACACAAGTGAATATGACTACTAATTCAATAAAATGTACTGAAGATGTCACATTCTTCCCATCTGTTATGGTTTGGACATGAGGAGTCCCCCAGAAAGCTCCCATGTTAATGCAGGAATATTCAGAGGTGAAATGGTTAGACTGTGAGAGCTGTGACCTAATCAGTCCATCCTACTGACTGGGTGGACTACAGGCAGGGTGGGTCATGGCTGGAGGAGGTAGGTCACTGGGAGCGTGCCTTGGAAGGGTTGCTCTTCCCTCTGGCCCCTTTCCCTTGCTCTCTCTGCTTCCTTACATGAGGTAGACAGCACTCCACCACTCCTTTCTGCTGTGATGTTCTGCCGCACTGTGGGCCCAGAGAAACTGGCTTGGTTGATGATGGACTAAACCTCTGAAACCATTAGCCAAAATAAACTTTTGCTCCTCTAAGTTGTTCTTGTCAGGTATTTTGGTTAACCACACCATCTTTCACTCCAAATTCCTAGAAATGATAGAAAATTGACATAAATGATGGCAGATATAGTATTCAAGTGAAGAGTACTGCAGAAGATATGAGTGGACCAAGGAATGATCCACACTATTTGAAACAAACATACCAGGAACAAGAGTTGGTCTTGGGACAACTGATAGGACGACCGTTTGAAGAACAACAGGTAAGGTTTATCATGTCTATTCCCTCCTATCCTGGGGACTATAATAAGCCACAGAAGTGTTCGGTTCCATCAGTGAGTGTGGTCAAACTTGGTTCAGAGAGACAGAAGAATGCATCAGGTTACTGGGAGTTATCATCATGAAAAGACTTGCTTTTGGAAACTTGCAATATTATGTGCCATCCTTTACACACATGTACATTTCAGCACAAGAATCCCCCATACAAAGATGTGCACATAACCAAGAGTCATCATAAATTTTAAGAGAAATATCCTCTCACCCTCAGTTGAAGAAAAGCAGAAGTTTTTTTTCGCATCATAAACCTGCCTCTAATAAGAGAGTAAATTGAGAACTTTGAAGGGAATATAGCTCTACTGTCCAATATAGAGTCTAAATAAAATTAAGCTAACATGGATCTGAATTATGTTATTAAATCAGAGACATTAAAGAGTAAAACTCAAACAGTTAACACAAGAGAGCTCAAAATAAGTGTATTTAATACCCTCAGATATAGGAGAAGATAAATATAAGAAAAATTAACTAAAGATCTTAGAAATCTAAAATTTGGTTATTGAAAAAAAACAAAAATAAAAACTTAGAGCCAAATCCAGAATTGAACTCCATATCTACACTCCTCCATAGATGAGGAAAAAAATTAAAGATCAAGTCAGAAATTGCACCTTCATATAAAAAGTTACAAAGATGAAAAATATAAAGGAAAAGTTAGTTGACATGAAAAAATAATTCCAGATATCTCCAAATTCATCCAATAGAATAATTTGATAAGTAAGGAATTGAGAAAACTTAAGAAATAAAATACAGATATACTAAGTAAGATTTGGTGATTGTAGACTGCACAACTTCAGAATACCAATTAAATTATAATCTTTGCCAATGGTGTCCCCTATCATTTCCTTGACAACCAAAGTCAAGGAAATAAGGGAAGAAAAGGAGGATATTTCACAGGATCTAAATTCATAGACATACATCTTCCTCATTAAATTCTGAGGACACAAGTATAAAATGAAAATGAATCTTATTTAGATACATGGTAATAAAATTTCAGAACAAAAAGTTAAAAGAGAAAGGTCTAAAGACAACAGGTATATTTGGGCAGTACTGGATATAAGACAATGAAGCATTACCTTTTAAAAAAGGGGGGGTGGATTTTGAAACAACTTTTATATCTAGTCAACTATTGTTTTGGTATGAGAGACTTTTCAGACCATCTTTGAGAGAATTACTAGAATTGTTGTCTGATAAGTTTTTGTTTGTTTGTTTGCATCATGGGGGATTCAACTCAGGATCTTATTCATGTGAAGCAAGCACTCTACCACTGAGCCACATCTCTACCCCTCCAGTAAGAATATTTAAAAGATTCCAAGAAATGCTGTATACTAGAATCAAAGGTGACCATGTACCTAACAAAACATATTGCTATTAGATTCCTTAAGAAATTAAGAAAACCTGGTATTTAAATTCCAGATGACATTAACATGGGAAGTGCTGGAAAAAACAAGAGTGAAAAAAGAAATAAAGCAAGCAAAGTAAGAAGGATAGAGGCATTATTA